AACCTTTTTTTGAAAAAAACGATTATTTGCTTGTGTTTTTTCTCCTAATTGTGATTATCACCTCTTTTTTCTCAAACTTTCTATTACACAATCGGTTTAATTTATTTTTTGCATTTTCAAGTTAGGATTGACACTTTTTTTGCTCATTTTTAATAATCACAGCAACTTGTTAGGTTCCTTAAATCTTTTTTAATTCATGGTTGTCTGCGGTATTTCTTTTGATCTGCTGACAAGAAAAAAAGAAATGATTTTTTTTCGAAAATAAGACAAAAAGCGTCATCGATCCATTTCTTAATTATCCGTCTTTTTAATTTGTGTCCTATTAAATTTATTTTTTTTATTTCCGACAATTTTATCCCAATTTATCCAATAATTCTTTATCGATTGATTCTATTACTTCGTTTTAGTATTTCATTAATTGCTATATTTTCCTATTTCTTAATGTTCCATCAATTGCTACATTTTTTCTGCACCAGTTGTTAGTTGCTGCCATGCTTTTAATAGGCATAGAGCAAAACAACAATCAATCAACCACCTCGCTAGATATCCTTAATTAACTGTCTCAGATTACAACAACGCACTAATTACTCTTGTACCACTTTGTACTGTTTCAGAGTAGGACATATGCAAATCCGTAATCGAAAATTTTATTACCATAGCTCAATATTTAACTCTTATAAGCTTTCTAATTCAATCGCAGGTTAATATGCAATCAAGCTAATTTTAACTTTTTCAATCATCCGCAAAAATAATGGAAATGCAAAAGTAGTCTATAACTTAATATATAATCTTTAAATTTAACTACATTAGAAAATGATACAGAAAAAACGTATATTAACTCGTCGAAATTACTTTCAAAATTAAAATCATAGTTTCAGTATTTTATTACCTTCTTTATTGGTATAAAAGACTTATCCACTCATATAGTTACGTTATACCGTAAAAACCATTTCTTTCGTATTCGTCTGATCCAATCCCTTTTGTTACATTTTTCCCTTATTTTTATGATCGGTCGTATACCATACTATCAACACTTTTTTATCTTTCTCCTAAAAAAAATTATTTCTTTAACTTTTCATCACTCACAAAGGAAATTTTAAAAAACGTAAAATTTCTGTAATTTTCATTGTATGTTATGCATATATCCTTTGTTTCTCTTCCTTTTATTTATCTCGTTTTTCAATAGTCCTTCGAATTTGATCAATATTAAGAAACTTCGAAAATGTTGAGTAATTAAGTCGTAAAATGAAATTTCGCCAACAACATGCCAAATAATCGATGATATACAGACACAGTCATATATATATATATATACATTTACCTATTTATTTATAATGTATTTTCAAACAGTTCAATGACACAGCATCATTTCAATTAATCTTTTTCCTTTCATATCCGTTACCCAACTAAAATTTCTTCCAAAATTTTGCTATTGAAATTACTGCTATTACTACCGTTATTACTACTTCTCCTACAACTTGTTCATAGATTATTTAGCTAACAATTCTTTTAAATTTTCATGAATAGTAAAAAATAAATCAAAATTTAAATATGGCTATGCTTAAAAAAATAATGATTCAACTGATTGAATATATTAGGAATTTTTAAATAACAGTTGCTAATTTCAATTTTGACAGCATACGAATGACGATGATTGGTTTGCAAAATTTACAGAATGATTCAGAAGGGAATATCAAAATCGAAGTTAGCAATCATTCCCTTTTGAAAAGTTACTATCACATCGTTTTCTTTTTTTACAACCTAAACCGTCAACATCTGCAGTTCACATAAACCACACGAGTAAAATTATGCAAATTATTTCTTCCTTCTCTTTCAAAATAATATTCTGAAAATGTGTTCTGCATACGCTTACCTCTCATGCATTTTATATGTAATATAAATATTTAATGATATAATTTGAAAAATAATTAGTAGAAATTTTAAGTACGTGAATTTTACGTACTTAAAATTTCTACTAATTATTTTTATATATTTAAAATTAAGTTTCCTTTCTCCTTGTCCTATACTATACGGGTACATGTCAACATATACACTTTACCTATACCTTTTTGTATCTCTTATTTACCTATTCGTTTTTGCTATAACGATTTTTCGAGTAAAATCATTCTCGTTTTATTTACTAGAAATATATATTCACTCGTTTTATTCACTGTTTACCTATGGACAAGTAGTAGAATAAATGATTATGTCCTACTCTGAATAGTTTATCGTTGACCGCAACGCTCCTTCTCTTATAAATCCTTAAATCCCTCATTTGTGATCGTAAGTAAACAGGAAATCATTGCAATAGTACTTGAAAGTTTACTATCTTTAATGTTACTGTAAAAACCTGCAAACTAATCATTTCTTCATCTATTTAAATTAGAATAGCAATCATTGATAAAAGCAACGAAAAATGGACTTAATTGAGAGGAAGAATGTGATTGCATTTTTTGGAAATATAAATAGTTTGAAAGATCTTTCTTTTTTCCTTACTTTACTGTTTTTCTCTCTCTTTTCTTCTCTCCCTTCTCTCTTTTCATACATATATATTTTTTACAAATTATTTAATTTGTGGTAATAGAACGGATTTTTATTATTAGTTTTGACGTAAGCAGAATATAAATGTCATCCCAATCACCAATGATGCGCATTGGTTTACCGTATTTTTTCTTTGTTGACATTTCTGCTTATCCCTTTCTTTTGTTGTTTTTTTATTTTCTTTTTCATGTAGAAATTACGAAATAATTATGCGAACTGCATAAAACGTAAACCGGTTTTATTAATATCTTTTATTCCATTTTTATTATTTCTAATTTCTTCTTTACAATCATTCAATGAGAAATTATAATACTGATATATTAGTGTGAGCGATATGCATTCATAATACATAATAATCTGAGAGCTGCGCTCAACAAACGACAGTAATGAATTTCGTTTTTGGATTATGATATGGAGTAATAAACTGAGTATCTTTCGAAAACAACAAACAAACGATGGAAATGGTGTGTAGTAATGACAACGATGATAAGATTAAGAATGATAATACAAAGATAAAGGTGGCCGTAATATTTTCATATCAGCTATCAAAATAAATAATAAAAGGAGCAATAAAATAATGCAGCGATAAATGTTATTTTTATCACTATTATCAGTCATCTGTTTTAGTGTTCTTATATAAAATCATTTTATATGGAATGAATCGATATCAAAAAAGTTTTTTTTTCAATGCTATTGATATTCAAAATTTCTTATCCAATGATAATATTTATTTGGATGATTGATTTTATGATGTATTTAACATCATTCTGATAGCAATAGTTGTAGCAGTGGTAACAACGGCTAACTTCCTACATATATTAGCAGTGGTAGTAACAATGGTAAATCAATTTACATTTTATCTGTAAGAGTCAAATTTATGGTGTTGCTATAATTCTTCGTCTGGAACATATGCTATCAGCTGTCTAAAATGACTTCATATAACAGTATTTGTCGTTTAATCGTATGTTCCTTATATTAACCTTAAATTTTCTCATCTGAAATCTAGAACTTTGATAGATATTGCTTGAATTGTTTTGAGGAGTAAAATGTCCAATGTAAGATTATATTTAATAAAAAGAAAGAAACAATTTAGATGTCAGACGAAGTTTGAGCTTAACACAAGGAATATATGGTGAAATGGCATAATATTTGATATTTGAATTTTTTTTGAAACCCAAGAAGTTTTCTTTTCTTTGCACCTCAATCATTTATTTGCTTAATTTGCTTCATTTTAGTTTTTATTTTGCTTGATTCATTTTTGAATAATTGCATTTTGAATAATTGCACGACGAAAGAATTGATCAATATATTTTTTAAAAATCTATTGAAAAAAATTGTATGATTTATTTAAAAGATTTAAAATTTTTCATAGTTTTGAAGATTTATGAATCTAAAAGATGTAAAAAACTAATTTTTTTATTTCATTTTTTGAACTAATTTTTTTATTTCATTTTTTGTATTACGCAGCAACAAGGGATTTTGTCACGCTTATAAATAATTGAATTTAAAACATTTAAATTTGGTTTTTTAATAGAAATATTTCTATTTATTTATTCTATCACTAGGGAACAATTTCCGAAAAATAATTTGTCCTAAGATAATGTTGACCTTGTCTGTCGAATCAATGCAGTCGCCCAATTGCAAGCCCTCTTCTATCCATCAACATCTTTGACATGCAATAAGACATTCTTTTTATCTTTTATTATTTCATGCCATAAACCTTTTCCGACCAGTTAGTGCGATGAGTCACTGGAAGAAACTGATTAACGGTTCAACTGTTCCATATAATTTCACATTATTACTTAAGCTGCCGATATTTTCACCATCCATTCTTCATTGATCTAAATTTCGTAATGAATTATAAAAGCCAAAAATTTCATTTATTCATGAATGACATAGCAATTTTATGCCGAAAATGGTAAATGATTATGCTATAAGTAAGCTGTAAATTGGAGGAAATAATTTAAATGAATTATTGTCATTTCATCGTGAATGTTTGACATTTTGACGGAATCTTTGTCTGCCACGTTTCTTTTTCTATGAGAGAAAAAAAGAGTTTCCAACAATTCTTCCGCCACCTCTACTTCCGATCATTTAACATTTTTAAACTCCAATTTTTGGGTATCAAAAAATTAAGCATTACTTTTACCATTCTGCTACTTCATAAATAATTTCAAGCTGTTTATTTCAATTAAAGAGAGCTGAGATTGTCAATGACAAGAATCTGGCGACAGATATTTTGGTTGCATTTACAGTATGTCAAAAAGGCCATTTCTGTGTTCTCTTACGGCACATTTTTTTTTAAATCGGCTTGAAAATAAATATTACTTTCAACATTCATCAGAGTGATAAGTTAATAACAAATAATGAGTTAATAACATCTGCCTCTCATCTATGGATGACAAATGATAATTCACTCAATTATGCATCCACGGCTCTGCACGTGGATCGATATGTGCATGTCCTGCATGAAGAAGATATGGCGCTATGCAATAGAAACGTCTCAATTTTACAACTGTTTATTAATGCAAATTGACGTATGTGCCAATGACACGGTAATGTAATACCTAATTTTATTGTTACGCTTATCTCTTTCACTGTAAACAGTATCATTGTCACCATCAGCTTTACTGTATTCCCAAGGGTACAACACATGCTTCAAATGTTAGATCCCAGATAGGAGGCATTTTGCTGATATATTTATAAATTTTTCATATATGCATGCTTTGCCAGTAATTGCAACCAAATGAGTTTTTTCCTTTTCGTCTTTTTTAAACTTTTTTTTGCTTTTTGATAGTTGGCTTTTCACCAGTGTTATTTTGCTAAGATAAATGAACTGTAGGTGGAAAGACAAACTTAGAAGCTCTTTAAAGGGATAAAAGAAATTAGAATAGCAAGACGGAAGATTATCGCATAACAGAGGAATGAGACATGCAAAAGCTTATTGGCTTTAAAGCGGAATAGCTGACCCGAAATTAGAAAACGAACTAAAAGGCTTACTGGTTATCTATTCCCCATCACTCTCATTCTTCTCACTCCTTTCCTTTCTCGATGGTACGGTGTATTCCAAATAACGAGAGGTTAGACTGAAGATCCGGAAGCGGAAGTATCCCATGGGAATAGGCAATTGAAGAAAGGAAGTAGTAGTTCAACATTGTCGATCCATTTCAGTTGGGAAAGCATTACTTTGTGTTTGTTGGGGGTTTATGAAGTGCAAATGTAATTGCATATTAACTGCTGCTACCCTCATAGAAGTAAGTAACTGGCAAAACAGCTTTATAACAATGGGAAGGATCCCGATGAGGTAAAGGGACATATGTTTTTATGAATTTCTTATCGAGAGTTGAGGAAGAAATAGATGTGACAAGCAAATCTTATTCCTTTTTATATCATTTCCTTTTTTCCACTACCTTACTTTTTCCCATAATATATCATACTTCTCTCTTCTTTTTGTCATGAAAAGTTGAAAATTCACCAGAAATAACATTGAAATGTCAACATCATGTCCAAAGAACAATGAGAAGTGGGTCATTAATTGATTTTATTTTTCCTTGCGAACAATTAATACTCGAAAACTGAATGTCAATGTAAATAATCTTTGATGAATTTAAAGCATAAGTCTTGTACTAAATTTGATGAACTAAATTTTTCAAATGTAACCGAGTATTTATTTCTTCACAAGGTACCAACCTTCTAAATATTTTCAGCTGAAATGACCTTCTATATAATAATATATCGGAAAACCTAAGTGAACAATTCAGACTTCATTCATTTTTTTCAGAACTGTTTTCTTTCCAAATTCTCTACAAATAATTATTAAATTTTTTAAAAAATTCGAAGACTAAATTTAAATCTGTCTTCCTCTGCACTCGAAAATTTACGGTGCTTTATTTTCAACCTGCTGACAACATTTTTCCTTATATAATAAAGCACCTCTGTAACTTTTTGTTACTCTTGATTTCAGACATAATTTCAAATGAATGATAATACTTGGCAGAAATTTTTTGAAGGCCGAAGTTTATGTTGATATTTCATAACAGGGAATTCAAGAGATAGCATTTTCTTTACTCATTTGCAGGTAACACAACTTAAAATCGACAATAATCCATTTGCCAAAGGGTTCCGTGATGCCGGTGCTGGGAAACGTGAGAAGAAACGGTTAATGAACAGGACGGAATGCAACGCAACCAATACCGGTATCTCGAAATCGGTGATTTCTCTGAATGACGATTCTGTAACATCTGAATCACCGGCTGCTCGAGCAGGCAGCTCGATGGACTCAGATCGTTCGGATGACGACGACTCGCCACCCCTTCCGAAACGAGCCCGGAGTAGTCAGAGCACCACTGATGACTCATTACAAAATAGGAATCATCTGTTCCAGAATCATAACCTTCATCAGCACCTCCAACTTTTACAGAATCATCGATTACTATCGAAGGAGGCTGTCAACTTCCAATTATTCCATCCGGTTGGTATCGGAGGTGGTGGTGGTGGCGGAGGCGGAGGCGGCGGTCCGCCACCACCACCACCTTCTTTCGCACCATTCTTTCAGAACTACGGGTTTCATCCCGCTGCCGAGTTTTTCTTTCCCGCTTCTCCTTTTCCCCGCGGTTTCTTAATGCATCAAGCAGCTGCTGCGGCTGCAGCAGCACAATTTTCGCCCTACCTGCTTCGGCCATCTCTACCCGCTCCTCCACTTTCTGCTTCTCAGGCAGTTAATCCACCTACACCATCCCCCGCTTTCGTTACTGTGTCGAAGTCGCTATCATCGGTTGGAAATACCGCTATTCCGTCAACCGCTAACGGAATGCCACGACCTCCAGCCCCTACAACGGGAAAATCGACAGTAGCTCCGAAAAAGGGAGGATTCGATGTATCTGATCTCCTTGCATAACCGTGATATTTCTATGTAATTGTCCAAACTTTGAGCTTTTATTTATTGACTTAATTTTCGGAAGAAAATAAACAAAGTAGCACGCGAGCAAAGATTTTGAGAATCCTCATTAAACTAATTGAAATTTTTCAAATAATTTTTTGTAAGTTTAAGGATGAAAAAATTTCGTGAACATTGTCATCTAGAACTTTAGTGCGTATTTTTTGTAACAACTATGATAGGAAATATCAAAACATCTGTTGGAATGATAAGTTAAGACAGTTATTAATCAACACTTTTTACAGCCATTGTAATCAATAAAAGGAAAAATAAGTACTTATTATTTGTAAATGAATTCAAAAAAATTCCATATTTTTGAATATTTCAAGTTTTGCACTATTGATTAGCTGGTTGAATAATTTTTTTCTGTTACCAGTTGCACAAATCTATGGTATGTACAAATAGCGTTAAATCGTCTATTAAAAACCAAAACAAAAAAAAATAAAAAATTGGGATAATAAAAAAATCTCCCCAATTAATTAATTGCTTGATTGATCATTAAAAAATGCAGTGCTCACACAGCTTTACTGTTTATAGCAAATTTGCTCGTTTTCCTTTTGTACGTTGTATACATTTAAAATTGAGTACCATTTTCAATTGTATACATAGATTACACTGATGGTATTTTCTTTTTACTGCTATTCGTTCATTTCATTTCAAAGTCATAAATTTTGATAATAATGTATTAATTAAAATTTAACGTGACAAAATGAATGAATGTAATAATACGAAATGAATGAAATAAAAAAATTTCACTATAACAATGTTAAAGTCAAAGATTAATTTTATTAGTAGCACGTTGTTGCCAACAGCAATACACAGTACAAACGTAGGAATATTTTAAAAAATATCAAAGACTTTTAGTAATAATTGAAAAAATGCCTATTTTAATTTAAAAATTACTTTAAGGAAACAATTTTGCTCTTTCTCTGCTCCTTATAATTAATCCCCTGTAAAAGATGAAGCAAATTAATACTTGATCATGTCTTTTCAAAATTATATTTTTTATTAGAATATTTAAGGATATAAATATTGCTGCTGTAAGGATTCTTCTGCGAAGCAATACAGTATCCAATTTCAGATTTACATAGATCTGAAGTAGTAGTGGTAGCGTTGTTAGCTGTATGTCAATTTTCTCGTGGATTTGTTTACTTGTTCCCTGAAACATTGTGTACTAATTCTCGAGTACGAAGATGAAGCACCCATAGATCATATACATTTATGTGTATTCCCGCACATCAGTTACTATGACATGCTACAAAGCTTTTCAAGTGTTTGCGTGAAAAGTGAAACAAGGTAAATATGGATAATAACTAATGCTTCATCATATAAGTTATCGGTTTAAGAATATATTATGTTTCTTTGCTACAAATAATTTCACTGCATATTTTGAGAATATCCGATATCTTACCGATCTATCCTATAAAGTACCATCAATACATTAGTATATTATATTTTAGCAAGAAAGAAAAACTGTACACTACTTATTCACCCAATATGTTATAGTTTTTTGTAAAATTGAAAAAAAGGTGAAAATGAGAGAACGAAACGAAATATTCTGAAGGTTATTAAAATTCTTTTTTTTCCACCTTTTAGTTTAAGCAAATTTACAAATTATTGTTATTACTATGCTGTTATATCCATGATAAATTCATGTTCATTTTTCATTTTTTTATTTCTAATGTAATTCTTTCAATATTAGTAACAATTTAGAAATGATATAATCAATGATATCGATATTTTTTTCGTTGAAGTCATGATGCATTATCATTTTAAGTACTAACAATGGAAGGGAAAGGATTATTTTATGATAACATTTTTGCATAATCTAAAGACGTTAAAAAGTATTAGTGAATAAAAAAAATAATGATCGTGCATAAATGTGATTAAAACAATTATATATGCGAATACGAATAACGAGTAATATTTGATCAACCTTGCGAGAATACTTTTTTTTTTCCTTTCTGCATTTGATGTCTATCTTTGCTGTGACATGAAATCAATCTACAGACTGATGACTGTCACATAATTACAGGATAACAATGTTAAAGGGAGGATTGGAAGAGTGTAATTGAGGGAATAAAGTTAGCTGATCGATGTTCGTTGTTGACAAAAAAGAAAAATGGGTAAATAATGGCTGTGAAAGATGTCGCCTTGCAGAGAGTAATCCAACTACAGCCTTTTCATTCCTCTCCTTCCCACCTCCAAATTTCCATCTCTTTCCATGTCTGTCAACTTTCTTTCCTTTTTCACTCCATTTTTCACCTATCATTGATGATTACTACCTTCCATGATGATTACTACGAATTATCATGATTACCTTTGTCATCGATGGAATAATGACACTAATATATCATCGCAATTATTCGCTAGCGGTTTCATTCCTTTTTCTCTCTCCCCTCTCACCCTCTCTCTCCCTCCTCCCCTCCCTTCTCGTTTTTCGATTATCAAAGAGCTTTTCCCTACATGTTCAACATGTATACCATATGCTACCATCATCTCTTTCCATGTTACCGGCAATGATGACCGCTCGATCGGTATGAACAACTATTACCGTATCATAAATACAATCTCTCATCATTATAATAAAGTTTCTACTGATGAAATTAAGAGAACAATTATTAATCAATTAATTGCTAAACAAAACGAAAGAACGAAGAGATAATATGACAACAATAATAAGAATTACCACTTTTCATTGTAATCACAATAATGGTATTAAAAAGACAAATTCAATAATCTGAAAGAATTATTTTCAATTAATCTAAAACGATAACTTAGGATTTAATTTTTATTTATCTCCATCGTTTTTATCTGAACGATAAAGATTTTCTTCTAAACCGTCACAAACTAAAAATACCCATTCTTTTTTATTTCAATAATTACCATATGAATGTTAATGAAAATTAAAAATTAAACTGCTATATTCCTTTTCTTATCTACTCTACAATATTTCCAGCTCACCTTACTTTTTCCTATTCTACAGCCATTCTTCTCAGACTACGATCTTTTTATTAGCATTATACAAAGACGAAAGAAAACATGCATATCACTAATTCTCACTTATGAATCATCCAAAAGTTATGACATCACCACAAGCAGAAATCGTTTTCAATCACTGCTTCCATAGTTTCAGACTATATGTTATGCCCAGCAATCAATGACTCATTCATTTTGTATCATTTTTCCGCCACTATTTTTTTCAACTATTTTAAACTTTAATAACTTTCGAAAATTTTCTTTCAAAATATCATCCAATCATTTTGAGTTAATCGATTTTCAATCATAATGCTTCAATGAACTTCTGCATCAAAAAAAGCATAAAGAAGAACGCTTGCGAGAGAGAACAGAAATACAAATTTATTAGCATAAATACGTACAAAACGAAATCATAAAACGCTATCAATATCAAACAAATAACCAAAAATGGGGATTAATTAATAAAAAGTAATTCATTTGCTTTTTATAATTTTGCAAATAAAAGGAAATCTTTGTCCGAGAATTACTTCGAGCAAGAAATTATACTTCGAATCAAAAGTTCTTAAAACGAAGAAAATTTTCTAATAAAGTAACTAACAGAAGAAATGAAATGTATTTTATAAATGGTAAGAAAAACGCGCATAATTATTTCCACATCTATATAAAATATATATTATAATGTCCTAGTAATCATTCAAATGTAAATAAATACTTAGATAATAACCCGAATATGCGGTAACCATTTCATGATGCTAAATTTTAACGAAAAATCGAATATCGGCCAAAATTCCGGACAAAACAAAAAACAAAAAGGAATTTCACTTATTCATGAAAAATGGGTAAGAGCATATATTCAGGATATACTAAGTAAAAGCTACAAATGCTATATATCAAGAGAAATATGCAGTCAGGATCTATAAGATTCAGAAGCACTAGAAACACGAGATGATCGTAAAACAAGCGCATCGGGTGCAATTGCACGAACGATAGTTGCCATCTGCATATTACTTTGTCGTAATTGATTACAGCTAAGTGTTAACGCTTTGTCACTTCCCAGAACAGCCCAACAAGAACCCTGATGACTGCGACAATACGCCAACAGTAATACTTCAACATCAACCTGATCACAACAACCGTATTCTGCACCAAATTGCTGCCTGCAAAACAATATCCATCAAAATTTACAGATTTCATTCGCTCCAAATTTATGTCTCATATCTCATCATTACACCACTAAATGTTATGTATCCATAAAAAGCGTAAATTTGATAAAATTCAATAGTCGTTATTTTTTCTAAAATATGTGTCCCATCTTCTCCATCACAATTTATAAATGTGACTTCAATTTCAAAATCCTAATGTCCCTTTATGTAGTTTACTATTAAAACAGCAAAACAAAAAAAAAGAAAAAGAAAAGAAACAAAAGAGATAGCGAAGAACAAAGTCATAAATTTGACTTAAAATGACGCAAAAAGCATTTTCAACAAAATTACACTTAGAAAGCTTCTTTTCGTGTTATTGAGATACCTAATAAATGGTTGGTTTTCTACTACAGATGATAATGGAAAATGATAAGAAGAAAGGAAAGATATATAATTTGTTAACATCAATCATTCAAATTTAAAATCTTCAAAAACCATGCTTTGACATTTTAATAAAAGCAGAACTTCATTCTCGCCCATTCTATTCTTTTTTTTATCTCATTCCTTTTTTCTGGATAGATTTATAATATTGGTTTAGCGTCCTCAAAAAATTCTCCAACCATTAAATTTTCTTTTTTCTTATTCTTCTGCCATATCAACTTACTGCTTCTAACACCTTATTGTGATCTTTATCTGCCTCAAACAAATTATCAATCAAGAAATTATGCTACAGCAAAACAAACTTCTTACCTATCCATTAATGAAATTAAGAGTAAAAATTAACAAATTTTAAGGTTTTATCAGAAATCTTTAATAGTCGAATAGATAAAAAAGCGAAAATTTCGGAAACAATAAATTGAAATATGCTCTATTTCATATTTAGAAATTTTCAACAATGAATAATTTTCAACAATGAATAATCTTCTATTTATGTCTTAGACTAAAAAGTTTTTTCGTTATATGCATAAAGTACTAAGGATTTTAAACTATTGAAAAATTAGTCATACTGCTATCATCCAACTACCGTACGACAGAGAAAAAAAAAGAAATTTGAATGAGATAATATATTCTATTCATCTCATAAAATAAATAATTCATTATCGGAATTAGTTCAATTATATAACACATTTCATAAACGATATATCAGCTGGTAATAATGATAGATTTAATCAACTTTTAAATGGTTCAGAAAAATAATATTTAACTTATTCATTTCCTTTCTTCAAAAAGGGACAATTCGGAAACGTCCAAAAGTGTAAGTAGCTATCAACACAGAGTGCTAATTTATCATCGTCAATTTAGGACCAAAGTGGGAATGATTGAGAATAAGAATAATTCAATCATTCAATGATATGAAGCACAGAAAGCAAAAGTCGAATCGGAAGGAGAGTAAAAAATATGATAAGGAATAGATTTAAGCAAATTTTCCGCTTTCTGTTTCACATCTGCATTTCTTCATTTTCTTCCAACATTTCTTTTTTTCTGTTCCATTTATTCCATCAAGACGTAAGTAAAGTAAATTAATAGTTTAGAAGAAGGAAATTTTTATTTCTTTGAAATAAAACTTCTAACTCATAGAGAAAACCATCGGATGTGGGTGGTACTTTTTTAAACGTTCTTTTGAAATATTAAACAGTAAAAAAACCGCAAATATATAACTGAATGTTTAGAAAAATCAAAAAACTTTTTCAAAAAAAGAAGTATTCAAAGCACTTCATATATCATCCAATGCTATCTGTTGTATTATCTCTTTGTCTTTCTTTTCTTATCCGAAAATATATGTCAGAAAATCACAAAAGCTGCAAACAAAAAAAAAACAAATCCTAACTAAAAATAATGAAACAAAATATCTTTGTTATTTTTTTTCCTTTTTTAAAACTTCTTTTATTTATAAAAAGTGAAGCCAAAAGAATATATTCCTTTCTTCTTTTATTTATTTATTTAAATGTTTAAATTAAACTAAAAAAGTTCTCCAACTGAAAAAATGAACAAAAAATGACCCAATTTTATTTAGTTTTATCAAACCTTTTCCCAAAATGTCACATTACTTCAGTGCTATACTAATGAATACTAATTGCCATCTTATACTCTTTTTACTATTACCTATCTGTTGACATTACTAACAATTCTCATGAAGAATAATATAAAATGTAAAGCCTACTGTATCAATTAAGAGAACTTTAAACTTTTTTTCCTGACGAAGAACTGTCATTATTTCTGTTTTTCATCAATAAATCTTTGGTTTATTCGTCTTCTGGACTCCTCGCAATCATCCGAATATCTTTTAATCTTTCGTTCTGAATTCATGACTACTACTTAACATACTCTTTTTCAAGCTATCAACATTTTTCATCTAAAGTCAGTTGTTATCTACTGATAAATATAGATGAAAAAAATTGTTCGATAAGCAAAATAACGTGTTTGCGGTTCTACAATTTTGCTAGAAAAATGGAATAAAACCAGGGACTACATATGATTTCCAGAAGTTAAAATAAAATTTTGAAATTTCAATTAACTGCATTGGTCTTTTTGCATTAAAAATACTATGTTACATATTAAAATATTAACCCAATACTCAACACTACAAATCAACTGTAAAATTTATTGATGATCTAATGGCATCATTTTAAATTTGCATCAATATCACCTTGTCTTTTTGGTTGATAGCTTGCATTATTTAGTGACAGTTAATTTGCTGACTAAATTTTGAGTTTCGACTTTTCCTTATAGAACATATTATACAACAATCATTCGCTGTAATTTAGCTCTAAAAAATTATCATCACCGTACTCAATCAAGGACACTAACAACCAAAAGATCACAAGATTATTCCCTCACTTGTCATATAATCTTTGTAATTGTGGATGACCTTAGATGAAAATGATTTATTACATTATAGTACTCCATGGTAGCAAGAAATTCTAACGAAATTATAAAATATGACGGGAATTTCCCAAAGTTGAAATATGACAAAAAAACATCTGTTGCTAACAACGGATAGGATGATTTTGTACAAATTAATTAAGTCGTGAGATGATCGATGTAATCTTACCTATGACGCGCCATATGCAGATTCTTATCTTACCTTTCACCTTCTTTTTCTCATCTTTTCTGATCTATTTATGATGTAAATTACATGCAACTATGTTAAATGTTCTCATCTAAATCATACCGTATACTATAAATGATCGTAATATGACTTTTCAGTTATATTACTTTTCAACTATTCCAAAATTTTACCTTTTAAAAAAAATTTTTAGACCCATAAAAAGACTGTTAATTCGAAAAAATTACTACTTGCAAAAATATGACAGGAAGAAGAAACTGTAGCAAAAAAAGATGAAAAAAGGAAAACATTTACAATAAGAACTATTTTCATGAATAAAAGCATGAATGTATTGATATTTGAATCGTTTGCTCGACTTGTATGCATTTTATAAGTACTTTCATCTGTTAACATGATGATTAGATTACAATATCGCTTTCGTTACTGTATGCGGCAAGAAATTTATCCTTATCCAAAGAATATTTAGGAAGAAAGACTGAAATTAAAATAAGTTACTTGAAATTAAAAAACTAGCTAAATTAAATATCTCCTAAACCAATTTTCAATAAATAATGATGGTAAATCCAACAATAAGCAAACTTTGAACTTTCCGAATTCTAAGATTAAAATAACATTCATCAGAAAACGGGAAGAAAATTTTCTTAGAATAAATATAGTTTATGCTTTAAATTCCTCCTTTTTCTTACATTTGTGATTTCTCTAAAATTCCATAAAAATTGAATTATTACAAAATCCCTATCACATGAAATAAAAAGAAACGAAAGTCACCAAAAGAAGGAAAAAACGAGGGAAGGATTGATGAGATAAAGAAGTTGTTAAAAGAAACGATCTTGAAGTAGCTGAACAGTGACAGGGTAGATTGGCTCCATGATGGCTGGAAATGCTTAAAAATTATCTGACGTCCTCACTCCATCATTCGTCTACATCTGCTGAGGAGGGTTAAGGGAAAAGCTCGAAGTAGTAAAGATTTTATCAGAACGAAATCTTACTACCATAACAAGATGATCAAAAAAACCATTCTTTGTTTTCTGCAGAAAAAAGCGTTCGAATTGTTTGATTTCTTTTATAATGGCAATGGAGTCTAAATAGATAATTCACGAAAAAGAGATACGAAAAGGACGAACAATGATGTCATTTTTTATTAACACTTTTACATATCTACTTCCATGTTTTATTGATAACCAATTCTCAATATATAAATATATTGGAAAAATTTGAACAGTTATTTCCTTCGTTCAATAATCAAATGAAGCCAACTGTTTCGAAAATCAGCCCCTACTGCAGCTAATAAATTTGCATAGTATTGTAACATGCAGACATAAAAAATCAGACAAAAATCGAACAGGCTTCTTATTCAGCAATTTGACACTTCTATGCAAAATATTGCATTTCCCGTCAATTACAAACAATTACAAAATTTTACTATTCATTTACTGTCCAAAAATTTACCACCCATATCGACACATCGACAAAACGAGAAGTCAGGGAATAAATATTTTGTCAGTTCATTTCAAAAAGGTTGCAAAAGCAACTCATAATCCTGTCAAAACTTAACAGATATGATCTGCATCTGCAGCAATGAAGAGAGATTGCTTTAAATTTTGCAAAAAACTTTTAGAATACTTTCAAAGATCTAGATATCGAATATTATGGAAAATCGAAGAGAAGCAATCATTAATTTTAAGAAATGTTAGTATCTAGTAAAAAAATCACCAAAATTAATAAAAAAAGAAAAACCAATCAACAACCTATTTTCAAAAATCAAAAAAAAAATACTATTGGGATGTTGAATAATAACTTTTGAAACAAATTTCAACATGAAAAAATAAAAACATAAATTGTTACCTGAGTTGTCTTAGCATATATAAAGCATTCTTATATTGTTTCTTTTGCATTAACATCAACAAAGAATCGGTATTTGGCTCGAGTGTTACATTTGACATACCATTTTCCATACCATGTACTGAATCCGGAATACTTGCTAATAGGCATCTATGCAAACACAATACTTCAGCTGATATATTGGCATTCTGAAATGAAATATTAACAGTTGATATATATTTTGATTATTTAATTATATGCTCTAAATCAATCATTATTTTTTGAATTTGGTCATAAAAGATCTGTTGCCATGATGCAGCCAGATTTATCATTTCAATTCTGTAATTTCGAGCATCACAAAAATATTATAACAATTTTGTAAGGTCACTGCGCGGATTCGTTAATATTCGGCCTGAATTTCGTACTTCACAATGAGTTTATTTGTAAATAAACTGCGTTATTCAACTCTCATATGAATCTTTCATAGCTTACTTTTGCTGCTCTTACTATCATGTTAATCTTTTCATATAACCCATTATATCTTGTTGAATTTAATTTTAGCTCGTCATACATCAATGCTGTTTGAATGCACATAGCATACAAATTTGCATCTATTTCACGCCAATTTATGAACTTTAAAGTTCTATTTTAGAAAAACAAAAGACACAAAAAGAATGAAGTGGAAGGAAAAGAAAATAATTATGATATTGATATTCTAGTTGATTCAAGGTACCAATGTTGAAACTACTAATAATAGCAGTTTACTTATTAACACTATTACTGTAGGAAACTATCAATGTAAGGTGACAAGTCAATGACGAAGTTATCGTGATGAGATTATGCTCTCATCAATCAAACAACCATCCACAAGAAAAATAACACCAACAATCATAACCATAATTAGGAGGAAAAAATGCTGAAATCAAAAATATTACTATTTGGAAACATTACATATATGACTTTAACCGTTTTACTTAATAAAAAATATATTTGATGAAATAAAAAAAGACACAAGTGTTATGAAATGGACAAAGAAGATACGAACTGACATATTTTCTCATTCAACAAGAAACATAACCTTATTTTGTCTATTTAATAAAACGATGAAAACCGCGATATTTATTTTCAATACAAAAATTAAATTACATTAAAAACGTTGTCACATTCTGCATTTTGGTATCTTGAGTATACCAACCTCATTTGCTAGCAAACACATTTTGTATAAAGCCTTAAATGTGATACAAAATGAAACCACATCTTAAAGTCTTAGAAGTGCTACTTGCTATATTTCCTCACTCTGTACACAGTGGGTAGCTTCCATATGCAGAGGAATTATAAATATCGTAATGCAACTGCTATCTGCTAAAAAAATCCTTTACCGAAAATTAACATCCAAAAATAATTCATATAAAAATTACTTGACAAAATATTTCAAGCAAAAATTGCCATTAAAAAAAGTTTCGGAATTTTTTACAATCGAAAAAGTAAAATATAAAACTGATGCTTTTATTTTAGCTGACTACAAGGGTCTACAGTACTCTAATATTTGCGCATTTTACCATTTTATATTGTATGATTTTATCTAGATATATTTTGCTACTGCATAATCGATAAAATGGTGGTCTGTCTGCTTTCTGTTCATATCCACACCCATTATCGTCACTTCCTTATCATCAAATAAGCCTTCTACAAAGTCTTCACACGTAATCACCCCACAGTCCAAAAAATGATCTAATTACAAATTCAAAAAAAAGTAAAATTTTGAAAAAAAGAGTTACAGATTAAATAAAGACATCAAAATATTACTGCCATGATCAAAGAAGGAAATGAAAAATAAAACGATTAAAATAAGCCATCTTAAAGATAATTTCTTTAAATTCAACAAAAATTCTATACTCATCAGAAAATGCGTCAAAACCATCTTCTACATTCCCTTATTGATTTACTGCACGCATTCATCACAATTATTCTAATAATAACACATATGAATAAATACATATAAACACACACATACACATGATTACACAGATACAGTAATCAAAGCTATTTTATAAATATAATCATTGCCATTTTATTCATAATTTCTTTATAAGAAAAAAGAATGAAAACAGAATGTTGAGTTCGTTAAAGTAGAAAATAAAAAAAAGATTTGAATAATAACTGGAAATCATTTTATTATTATTATTGGATAAAAATCTAGATATTACTATAAAATTAATAATTAAGGATAATTTCCCGTATTCTTACCAAAGCAATATATCAAACTGAATAAAAGATATTCTCGTTCCCAAAAAAGAAATCACCGTTTTCTCGAGTCAAAGATTACAGTAAATCATAATGCTTTCATTTCCGAAATAATTACTAACAAACTGTTTTTTTCATGTCTCTGACCGAAAGAATCAAACAGCAAACTGATGCTTAAGAATTTTTGTATTATACTGTTACCACTTAATAGATAAATTCAATATAAAAAGCTGAATGAGTAGCACTCATACCTGAACATCGGGAGCATTCACTACACCTTTTACCATTTCATCAAATTTATCAGTGATCTGGAGTAGTTGGAAAAACAACTTGTGCACCGATCGGCATAATTCTAAATGCTGAAATGAAAATTTAGCTATCTTGGTGGTAAGACAAAAAAGGAAAAAGAAAAAAAGAAGAAATTTTAGGATAAAGTGGACATTAGAAAGGTGCAAACCTGACTTGAAGTAACCGCCGATAATGATGGACCACCGATTAAGGCCAATTTCAATGTTGCCTTTATCGCATTTAAAGCCTGAAACTGCCAATTTGACACATAATCCTTTTCTAATTGTAATATTGAAAATATAATCCAAGACGAAGTATAACTTCGCACTGCAAATTTTATCCAGAATGTCGACGCAAGCCTACTGTCAATCATTATTCAACAGAGCAAAATCCCTTAGCTGAGTTATACACTACCAGATGTATTGATTGCATTCTGTTGGTTATGATCTTTATATCCGGTATTCGGCATCAACTACGATATATGCTAACAAGTAGTGAAGCCTGATAAACCCAAATTTGTATTAATTCATTAGCTCCTTTAAAGCTTATTAATCTAATATCTTCATCGTTTTTTATAACATAATCTTTTATTTTTCTTTTTTTGGATTATATCAAATAATTTTCCGATCTAAGCTATCGTGAATAGCTTAACAAACCAACTGTTCAAGCAGCTTACCTTATTATTACATTAATATTTGTGTCGTAATTTAAACGCATTTTCTTTTGATTTAATGAGATGCAAATTTTTTGCCCCTAACTTTTATCCTGATATAATTAAGCTTAATAATTCTGCTGCAAGGCCTAATAATGGCGCATTTATTCGTGATATTTAGTAACTCCAAGAAACCAATCGGTGGGATAAAACAAGAAAGAATGGAAATTATTTTCCGTCTCACAAAATGTTATGGGCCGTTTCCGTTCAATTTCATCTTTAATATGCAAAAGAAACCATAGAGAGACGGAAGGAAAGAAGGAGAATATTCGGTGCTAACCGTTAGGCAATAAATGTATCCGTAATTAGGATATTTAAGTGATAATGAAAAGATGACAATAAAAGTGACGACAAATTGGGTACTTCATTTATCGAACTCTCTTCTTTCTCTCTCTCTCCTTATTTTTATATTTTGAGCGAACAATTCAATACTTTTTTAACCCAATAAAATATTAACAAATAATGATTTATGCAAAATCTACCTGCACTGATAACGAAGCTATCTATTAAACTTTCTTTTTTTGTCAAAATTACAATGTCAATATCGTGAATTTCGCATTAAGTTAGAATTGGATGAGAGATTTAGAATGTTTTCGGTAAAATTTTCAACAATTCAGAAAATTTTCCAGTAATTTGACGAGTGGAAAATTGAAGGGTAGGATGAATTGGTGAAATTCATTACAGCGTCATGCGAGAAGATACTTTTAAGTAGACAGTGAAACTTAAATCATTCAGACGTAATTAAAACAAATGATTTCTCGGTTTTTTAAAACGTGTGAAATGCTATAACCTTTTTTCAAAGCTTATTAAATGTATCAAATTTGACTAAAAATTTTAAAATCAATACACCTGACTGGTTTGTATTAATCTGGGCAAAGTTTTATAAATTAAAGCAAGAATAAATGAGTAGCAGTGATAAAAGGATAAAGGGAACGAAAAGTTAATAATAGCTAGATAGTTTTTTGAAAGTTTTTTTGCAGCAATTTCTTTTCAAAGTTTGACTATAAAGAGAAAAGAAATTGCAGGATAATTAAGAGGTATGAGCAAGAAAGGAAAATATGACAAGCCTTTCTAAATAGCCAACATTCTCATTACCCTCTCCTGTCCGCTCGTTTTCATTTCTTTTCTGGCTACTTTAAAATTTATTTTACAAATAAAAACATATAGCACTTACCCGAATACACTGCTCTTTCCGTTCCACGAAAGTCTCGTAATGTTCGTGCAATTCCAGTAACAAGCATTTTTGCTGTGATAACATTTCAGTGCTACGTAACTGCAAACATCAACATAAAACATAATAGCAAATAATGAAATGAAATAGACTGGAAATGATTACGGTAAAACGAAGTTATTACCAAGGCATAATTATGATAGCACCAGCTATTTCTCGAAAATTTAATAGATTTTTTATTTATTCTTTTGTTTAAGATTTTAACTCAATTTTAAAAAACATTAAATCAAATATTTTGAAATATGAATTCTACTCCGGAAAGATTCGATATAAACGTAATGATTTCCTGAAAGCTTTTATTTGGAGCGCACTACCCCGTAAAAGACTGCTACCTAAATTACAGTGTTTCTAGAAATTTACTACCAGTATGCCTTCCGGAAGTTTAACATTCTAACATTCATAGCATTTTTAACAATTACAGTCTCAATGATAGTTCTATTCTTATCTTTTGTTAAGTAACAAGCAAAGATTATCATTGCTTATAAAAATTTTTTACAATGTTATTAAAATTCTCAATTTGGAAGTATTTTAAATTAAATTCAAGAAACTTTATTCTTGACCAGGAATTCTACTTCTTCCAACTTTTTCGAAATATTTAAAAACTTTTCGAAGGTAAATTTGTCCTAAAAAATATTACTGCATAAGATGTGAAATTTCGTCAAATAATGCGAGCGCGGTGAGTGACATGTGTATATTTCTTCGTATAAATTAAAGAAAAATTGTTTACTTCCTAATATCCGATAATGTTATAGCATATGCAATGTGATAATAGTTGGTAACATAATCGCGGTAAGCTCTTCTTAATCGTGAAAAGTATTTGATGTTTGCGCAACTGAAGTGTGCACGCATGCTTCAGATGTGATGCCAAAATGTAAGATGCATGCTGGATTCAAATTTCAGTTGATTAATAAGGAGCTTACTCTTTCTCTTTCCTTATACCGTTTAACTGTTAAATCATCAGCAGATTGCTTTTTACATATGGTTTTAAGCATAATAAGTATAGAATTTGAGAAATGATGACTGGTTTTTATCCCCAATACTAATACGCAATTATTATGATTACTAATAAGGATAATGATGAAGATGGGGACCAGCTGAGAGATAAATATTTTTCAATAGGGAGATAATTTTAACAACTGATTCATTAAGTTCGTGAATTAAAAAAATAAACTGCTAAGTTACAAGATAGACATGGACTTCAGCTCTTTAACTTTTTGGTAGTAGTTGAAGCTATCTCTTATATCTTCGCAATACATGCTGTTTTTTAATTACTTTTAGATACCATGTTTATGATCAATTTTAAATCCAGACTTTATTTGCTTTAAGATAGTTCGATGTTCTTTAACTCAAGAGAATCAAGAGATTTTAATAACGGAGATCGTGTTGCTAAGAACGTGAAATAGAGCAGGCCAATGAAATAGTATAACAATTAATTACACCTAATATTGAATTTATTTAACTGACTATTGATCCATAAAATCGATTAGTCCTAACTAGAATTATTCAAAATTTACATCAAAACACCCCAATCCCTCTTGTGCTTTGTTTTCACTCACATTTAATTTCCAAATAAATTTAGTAAAATCACATACATGTTGAGCCGTAACGAAGAGAAACGGACAATCGAAAATTTTAAGGACAAGATCTAATGCATCACTGAATTGAACAGAGATCTCGTGATGCGATGTAGAAAAGACCTGTGATGCATCTCGTAATATACCGGATAACTTCAAACAACATTCCTGAAAATTTGATATATTAAAAATCAAAAGCGGATAAAATTCCAGTCTAATTTACTTATCTAGCATTATTTTCGGTGTGATTTCGGATCTTTGCATATTCATTTCAATGCATTTTTTCACTCTTGATATTTGCAGAAACATGCATGTGGAAGACAAAATATAAAAACTTGATTAATACCTGCTCTGAACTTTTTCCAGTGGCATAAGAGATATCGTACAGGTAATTTGAGAATGAGTAAGTAGTCTCATATTTACTTAACTTATTCTATCAGAAGTAATGGACAGTGAAATTGATATTGGTCGTTTTGGATGGATGAAGTCAAGCAATTTGCTGTATGATTTATTTGCTTAACACCACCGTGCAAATGAAACGATAGGACATTTCTCTTATTTCTATTTTGTAATGTGATATACCGAGAAATTATAATGCAGATTAGAAGCTTTAAGCATTTATTCTATAAATTTTCCATAAAATTATATGTAAGGGAACGAACAGATATGACATCAAAATTTTATAAAATTAAGTTTTAATAACGAAATAATAAAATGAGCAAAATTATCCCCATATCTAGTCTAAGTACCTAACTGCTCACTTATTGTCGTATTCTGAAATATTCCAGAATATGTTTCGAAACTTGCTAAAATATGTGAAAGTTAATTCTACATACATAAACTTTTACTCGTTCACTGACTTGCCGCTGTAGACTCAAATAGTTGCTCAATCTCCAGATACCACAACATTCTCGGGCGCAGGCGGGACGGAACAAGTTTAAATATGATGTTTTTTACTGTTCTAGAAAAGAAATTCTACAAGATGACTTACTCGATAAAGTTGGGTGAAAAGTAAAGTCGCATGTGCCGTCAAATCGCCACTTTCATCGATACTCAAATCCGCAAAACTTGAGAGCCATTGGTGCTCACCCTTGAAAATTCATGAACATAAGTGGTACATAATATTCTAATCAATATTAATTACAACAAATTTTTATTACAAGCCGTGCCAAGTAATCCATTTTTGTAACAACAGAATGAGATCGATTGTCAACCAATAAATCAATTCTCATGTAAAATCTAAAAGTTCTGTGTCTGATAAATAATAAATGCTCCAAATTATGACTTATAAAGGCAAATTAACATGACAACAATCACTTTATCTAATCAATGTAGGTTTAATTTGTGTAAAAGATTAAATTTAAGTAAGGATGGAATATGTAACACAGATAAATATGAATAATAAATATGATGTAATTATAGAATTCCACAGTAGTAAATTCCAGCAAACATGAATTTCCGTAAATTTAGATGGCAATTAATGTTAAAATATCAAATTCAAACTCAAAATATAACTATTACAAAGACTTCCAAAAAAAAAAAGACAGAAATGTATGACTCACTTGGGCTGAAGCATGATGATTGCATTGCAGAAATAGAGGAGGTCGTTTCAGTGATACATTTTCCACCGATGCTACTGAATGGCTACATCGAATAGATTCTGCTAAAGATGACATATCTGCCACTCTGCAAACCATTCATTACTTCCGTTAGTTCCGGAAACCTGATAGTTTATGAGAAATTTCGTGAAAGCACTTACCGAAGCTTTTCGTCATCAACGGCAAATTCATCTTCTAATTCTTCATCACAACTTTCTTCTTCGGAAACAGTTTCGCTACGAACTCCTGACTCTAGTGGTGTCCTTTCGCTTGATACTTCAGGTGAATCTGAAGTTGCAATCCAGAAAATTTGTGAATAATGCTGTTTACGAGTGGTGGATAAGGAAAAAATTATAGCTGCAAATATTAACCTGCTGAGGATGGGCGCTGATCACCAGCAATTTCGGTACATTCATCGTCCTGATATTGTTCTTCGACATTAATGCCAACTTTACTTATGGAATGTGGTCGTATTGTTGAGAGCCAGTTAAAACATGATTCTGTCGATTCCGATACAGTATCATGTTCCGCTTCCAAGAAATCAAATTCACTACAACAAACGTTATGATTTCATTGTGTGATTTAACAGATTTTAATTTCTTCTGTACACGAAAAGTTTAAATGTTTTTTTCTAATCCAATTGAAATTCAATCTAATTGCAAAGGTTAAATTACCGGAATACTCGAGGGAAAGAATTGGTAACAGATTGATCGACTACCAATGATGATGCTGATTCGCCGTCACCTATATGTGATGGCGAAATTCTCTCTGTTGAGGTGGAATTTGAATTCGGTGGTTCATAGGAAACATCATGCAATGACTGTGAGAAAATTATCGAAGCACTTTTTGGTAAACCAACACGTAGTCCAGAAGCATTCAGCAAACTGATCAAACGTTCTCGTACTCTTGTCTTCAAATTCAGTTATGCTTTAATTTTAAGTTGAAGTTTGAAATCAATTGAAATCAATTCGAATACAGATGATAAATAACTGTGAACCTTAAAGATTTCGAAATCCACAGAAATATTGTGAAGCTCTTAAATTCAAACCTGGTTACATACAGTGTGCTTCCGCAATGATGCCGTTTCCGGAGTACTTTTATGGACAGCTGAAGAGGAAGCTACAAAGCAACTACGAAGTGGGACTTCCAACTGGAGTCCTTCCGGTCGTGCAACCTCGTCTGATTCTGGTCCATCCTGAATTAAATAAAAAAATTACCTTTTGTTGTTTTGGGTAAAACAAAATCATTTGAAAACAGATATTATTGCACGGTTCATGAGTGAGAGTACGATATAGAGAGATCGCATAACGCACAAGTTTCAGTCTTAATTAATGAAAAATAAAAATATTGGATGAATCAACACATTATTATATCAAAATATAACTTGATATGATAATGTGCTGATTCTCAAAATTACAGTTCTCAAATTTCATTGCAATAATTAAATTTGAACTCAATGTATTAGCAAATTTAAAGATTTATAACTAAACTATTAAATAATTCAAACTCGATTAGTTTTATGAAGCAATGTAGTTAAAATTTATATTTAATTATAGTACGTGACTGGAGTCGTTATAGCAATCTCTCCATTCCCTCAGATGATCCTTAAATATCTGTTGTTCCTAAATTCTTCAGACTGTTGCGCAAAGGATCAAAGGTTTTCTCTAATCTTACTCCGATAATTACAGCAACTTTTGCGGAAGAAAATGAGAAAAACATGTAAATGGTAGGATATTTTTTCAGGGTCATTTCAATTGAACAAATAAAATAAAATAAAATATGTAAATCAAAATAACCCATACCGAGATATGGCCATCGATGGCAATACTATCATATTGCACAAAACACTTCAGAATCCTCGAAGCATCTTTCCAGTTTGGACCCTAAAGTTCTGTTTCCTAATCGTTCATATATGTTTAAAGTATACTATAATAGATGTTTGTATAGACAATGAAAGGAGAGATGATTCAGCATTCTTCAATAATGAACTGGTAGTAATAATACTTTAATTTCAACTCGATTTCAGCTAAATCCAAGTTTAAATTTAATTATTCATCTACAATTCCAGTAAGAATCCCAGATTTCTTTCAAACATCATCTAAAGACTAATAAATTTAAAATAAGAAGTACCAATCAACTTAAACTTTTCCTCAAATTGGAATCAAAGATTGAAAAGAGAATGTAAAAAATGGATAACCTGTATATGCTTTGATACAACTCGCACAACCTAAAAGCAAAAAAAATTATGAAGTTGTGAAAATTGGATTTTTTGTTCCCAAATTACAATTTTTTTCATAATTCATTTCATTAGTGAATTAAGTATGCAACATTTGGTAATAATAAAATAGCATTTTAAAGACTGATTGGATGGTTTTATAAGTAATATAAAACGTCAACAATTCAGAAAATAGATCACTAGAAGATGAAGATATCTTAACATATGCAGAGGGGGGAATAATTTCAGTTATTCAGTATTGCGGGTAACATTTAAAGAGATGATTTTACGGTATGGGATGAATAAGCTCCCGAAAAACCATAATATGTTGGTGGATGGGCTATCAAAATGACATTAAATTTCAATGAATAAAAGGAATTGTCTCGCCAATGTATGGTTTTGTCAGTTTGAGCAGAAAATGAGAGAGAAATAATAATAAACTAAAGCTGCTTTTAGATGCGTTTGATATTTGCTCGTGGGAACAATCATAAAATTGACTTATTCTAATCATTTTTAAATGTCGATGCAACAAAGGGGTAAAATCAATTTCAATGAATTTTCAAAACTTTCCCAGTACGAAACAATAATTTTTCATTCTTTTAATACAGACTTCAAAAAAAAGATGGGGTACGTGGGATTATTATGGTAGTGATGGATAAACAAAAAATAAAAAAAGACTGCATAATGTTATTAAGAAATAAATCAAAAATAAACGCAGAATTTACATTTAAACTTCATTTTCCACTAAATTTTGTTTACTTTTTCTCGAACCTAATTTTATTGATTTAAGGAATTTGAGCGTTTGCCAACAATACATCAAATGATTTAATGATCAAAATTTTATTTTGTATTTCGATCAGCAATGTCACATACACGTGATCATGCTAATGGACTAATCGATTAATCATGCACACGCATGTACAAAGTTGATTGATTAAGTTAACATGCATGTCCGAACCAAATCTGTAACTTTGTTCATTTCAGTGTTTCAAAATATGTAACCTTTCATTCGAACAAATGAATAAAATAATTTATTTGCTGATAACTGTTCTTCGACCTACCCATCTTGCAGACAAACAAAAGCACAAAAGGTGACAAAGGAAACTATTATAAGAAACTTTTTAAAAGCTGTCGTTTTAGAGCATTAAATTCGTGTGCAAAAGTATTTTAGATAAATCTTTAATTGGTGACGAAAATTACACACAAACACACAGATGGACACGAACATACATACACACATACACACACACACACACACACACACACACACACACACACACACAAATAGATACAAAGACATTTACATTGAAACATTATAAAAATTTTTCAAGGATAGATTGTAATCTGCAATCTCAGATGGATTTTCAAAAGGAAACGATTATTTCAATGGCGGCTCAAATCAAACATGCGTGACTGAAACATATGGTGAAAGAATTTGTGGGGAAAAACAAGGAAAAAGGAGGGAAATGAAATTAAAATTCGTTACAACAGGTGCATGTATTTCAAAAAGAACAAACAATAATAGTACTTTGTGTCTAACTGATAATATCTTCACCTGCTGATAAATGAACTTTTGCCAGACCGGTGAATTTCCGAAATAACGCAAAACATAATTTAAGGGCACATACTATCATTCTATCCGAAAAATGATTTGTATGACAGCAAAACCTTAGTTTGTTTTTCATGACTCGAGTATGCTGATAAATCTTCTCATTTACTATTTCCAGAAATACAAATCATTACGATATGTAAAAATTCAACATTCGCAAAAAATAGAATTAGGAACGAAAAGTGATCAAATAAGCATAAAAAAATTAAGCAGTCTTAACTTAAACAAATCAATTTAAATTTTTTCTCAAATCCGGTATTACTTTTTTCAAATATAACAAAAACCCAGTAGTGACAAGATATTGAGCAAAAATAAAGGGAAAAATCTCTGCAAAAATACAAAAAAATAGGAGATGATATAATGAATAAATTCTCTGTTTTTTACTTTTATTATATTTTGTTTTTAATATTATACAATATATGTACATCATATTTGAAAGGGAAAAATGCACCTTTCTGCAAAAAAACTTTCGTAATTTATATAGGAATTAATATAAATTTAAAAGTTGTAGTTGTGAATGAATATATTATTCAACACAAATCTTGCATATAAAATTATTCCGAAGATAGTTTGTTAATCATATGTTCTTTATATCATATATTATTTATCATAATCCTTTGCAGAATTATAAGCATTTTTTTTATTGTAACACCAATGATTTCAATTATTTTCCTTTCAATTAATATAAATAAATGCAAACATAAATGTATAGGCATAAACATGCAGGCAATAATTGAAATAAAAAAAAGTTACCTGAGCATTTATGGATAGCGGCGAGCATTGTGATAAATCAGCATTACTAGCTAATAAGTATAAGCAAGATAGTATGTAAGTATGCAATGATGTCACACTTCTTTCCAACATCTGCAATATGTCATAATTGTTGCGACAAACCTACAATTTTATTTACTTTAATTCTTTTGAACCAAAAAACTGATCGCTAATAACATAGTGCAACACCCAAACTTATTTTCTATATTAGAATATTAGGAATTACTTCAAGCTTTCCTAATTTTTGCTGTTGTTTAAAGTCCTTAATTTTCTATTTTCACTATCTAATTGTACCATTTCAATTTCGTTTCTGATAAGTTTTCGACAACATATCAGAGTCTGTCAAAATAAAAGACAAACTTTTTCTCACTTATTAATTAATTCCTTAGCTTCATTTCCAACCTGTGTCTGAAAGGATGTAAATCAAATCTCCATGAGTGCCTATCTCTTTTTGCTTTCATTTTTCATGCGTTATACTTTCTATAATATACAAAATGCACTGTGCGTGTTATATTTATACAGACTTCAAAAAAATTCAAATGCAAAATTTAACATGTTAAGAAAATTTATGACTGAAAAACCAGCACTCAAGTGTTTTCATTTGCACCTGAATTTAGTGCAATGGATTACTCCGGACATTGATGAAGGTATTTCTAAAAAAATGATAAATTGAATATTCAAATATTCCATTTAACCTCATAGATCAGACACCTTTTTTGACGTTTACTTACAGTGATGTCGCAATTCAAATTATTTTAGTGTAATGAGATTAGATTGACAATTAAGTTTATGCAATTTTATTTTTTTGCTTCAATCTTTGTCCAATGTTTTAATGATTTATGATGTAGACAATAATTTTCCAAAATGAATATAATGAAGTGCTATGATTAAAAGATGAAATGAGAGGTAAAGTCCGGCAACAACAACAATAATAATATCGTATAAACTTTCGATCCTTTCTTTCCTTTTTCATTGTTCCAATTCCTCTGGGGAAACTCGGACATAAGACAGAGGAAGAATATGTCCATAACTGTTTTATGACAATATGCAAGGTTGAGCGCATGGAATCACAATTGCTCATAATGATTTTGTGTCACTTCTGCCACTGGTCATAATCACCCCATCCATCCCAAATCAATCACAGTTCTAACCATATTATTATTATTCCTAATCCTTAAACACGGGTTTTCCAAGATCATGTGATATGCCGCCACAAAAGCTATTAAAGAATGAGATCTTTCGGCGGTGGCATCATAAAATCATGCATATCAACATGCATTATATACATGATACGACAGTCCGTTATAGCGTTATACATATTTAATATAAAACATAGGAGAGAAATATATATAACGCTATAACGGACTATCGTATTATGTATATAATGCATATGCCTATAGATTACTACATCATGTGGTCGTCAACAGGTCACAGAATACGATTTGATGATATGCAACAATAGGATCATTTAATTCTAAAGGAATAATAAAAATAATAATATCTCATGATGATATAACACGTATTATCGAAATGATCAAATTCAGATAATGCTCAAAAATTGTAGCGGAGATGTCGTGTATTTAATATTTGGAATTTTGAAGCTTAAATATTTGGTTTTCTTCGAATTTGAAACTAAACTTTGAGGAGCAGTCAACCTCTGTTTTGAAACAATGCACTATAGAAATATATCTAAACTTAAATCCATCTTATCTCTACCATCGATCTTGATAAACTGCAAAAGATAAGTAATTATTGAAATCAAATAAATATAATCAATTTAAACAAAACGATGAAAATAAGTGACAGACTGTATTCAAACAAAACTAGAAAGAATTACCAACCTCAGAAAGAAGGACGAAAAGTTGAGTATGATCCGGTGTCAAACCATCGTACATATACTTAAATACACATTTCGCCCACTGGAAACGATCACGAGGAAAACAACGTTCAGCGTATTTGAACATCATCTAAAATTGAATTAAATTAGAAAAAAAAATTTAAACGAACATAAAATTAACATCAATTGCGAAAAACAAAAGGCCTAGAAAAAATATCTGCAGTAGAAGTACTGAAAAAAATGAGTGATAATCGTCTAATTAGTGCCAGCTCTTATAGAAAACATTGATTTATCGAGTGAGAGCTTACAGATGATAAATGAGCAAGTGGATTATCAAGTGACTGTTCTTCCGTTTCTGTTATTCGTTCCGAAAGAAACTGAAATAAAATGTTTCTGTTTTATGGAAATTTATAATTTGAAATAACAAATTCCTTCATGACAAGCAGCATCGTAAATAGTCTGACCAGAATAGATTGGTGCAAATGATTCACTGCCAAATAGTTGAAATTTCTTGGAAAGTTAATGCAAGATTAAAAAGATGATTCTGTTGTTACCAAAAAATAGGTGTTCAAATAAAAATTTTGAAATTCACGCTGTTCCATAAGAAATTGATTTTGATAGGAACGTATTAGTATTCATAACTACTAGATTTTCAACTCTAAGTCGAGTCGGATAAAAAATTATATCACTGAATTATTAGATTTTAACTGAAAACCTCCTTACAGTTCCTGAATATAGCATAAAGTATAATTTGACTAGTTTTTGCAGCAATATGAATTTCATGATTTCCATTTAAATTTGTATAAAAGTGGTGCACAGTTATGAAAACAATCCAATTATCATATTTCATAATATTCTAGGTATAAGCAGTAAGCAAAATTTCAAAAAAATGGTACCTCAGTCAGCTTTCTGGTAATCGATAAACAGAGTGCTGTAGGTGTTTCGAAATTAAGCAAAAGTAATGGCATGGATGAAGTAATCAATAGAGGAATCAAACTGCATGGTCCCATTGCTGATTCATCTATCACTTCCAGACACTTCAGTAGCAATGATAGGGACAGTTCGTAACCTGACTGTATCGTTGTACCTAGAAATTCCATAGCTGCATAAAGTTGAATCAAATATAACACAAATTTAGCATTATTTTTGGTACAATTACTGCGACTTCATTTTGTGATAATCACTGTATGAAATGATCAAGACAAGTCACCTCTCAACTTCCACATCATAATTAAGTTCGAGCCTAAATGGTGAGAATGCACTGATTCGGTTTAGCGTCCTATGACAACAATGCATGAAAATCCGTCTTTCTTCTTTCCATCTACTCTTTACTTCTTTCCTTATGATATTTTATTGTCATGCGTTAGATTATTGAAAATATCATAGCGATTTATGCCATCAAAAAGGAAAATATGAAAGTCGATTTAGTTCCAAAGTTACCAACCAAAAAGATCCAATAAGTTCTTCAAGAATAATAAAGGATTCACAGACCTTTTATGATTAAGCCAACTAAACCACTATAATTTTTCCAATCCAACTGTGATACTGTTTTTGACAAACGCTGCAAACACAATACTTTATCTGAAGCTGCTGCATCAAAAACCTGCAAAAAAAGAAAAATGAAAAAATTTTTCAACAAGTACTTTTAAATACATCTTTCACAATAATAAACTATATTTCTTTAAAATAAATTAGAAAAACTAAAACAAAAATCAATCAATGGCTTCAGAGACTGAATTTATACTAAGTAGTGCCATCCACGTATTAAGTAGTCGAGCAACACCAATAAGTACAATAAAATATTATTAGCCTCCTAATTATTAATTGGATGATACCATCAATCTACTGCTCATGAACTGAATGATACCATTATTGATAATTTACAAATGAATATAATTGTACAACTAAATTTGAAATTAAGGAATTCCATCATTTCATGGATTCAAAATTTTGAAATTACTGATAAAAACCAAGTCAGTGGTGTCAAACCGATATCAAAAATATTTAGGTAGGAAATTCTTTCTGAAAAAGCTCATAACTTATGTGAAAACAGTATTAAAAAGGAAAAGAAAAACAGGAACAATTATGAACTAAACTCAATACTTTATCATAGTCTACCAATACCTGCAATATTGCATTATAAGTCCATGAAATTTGAAAATCTCCTGTAATCCAGAATTCTTTGCTTTCACTTAAGAAAAATGTAAAATACTAAAAATAATACCTTATCCAACAGATGTAGTGCGAGCAGATACTCGTTATCAGAATTTGATTCAAGCATGGCAACAGCAATTAAAAATAACCGACAAAGTGTTAAGAAATCTTCTTCTCCAACACCAGCATCCATGGTTTTCAAGGCCGTTGCACTTTTGCTTCGACTTAAACCTATCGGTACTTCCCGTTCATTAGTTACCAGAACTGAATGTCTCATATCTAAAAAATATGCTAGCCAACAAACATTATGAATCTGGTAAAATTAACGAATTTTTCTTTTCGTTTATTATGAAAGCGAGAGCCACAAATCTCGTCATTGAGAATTCATCAAAACTTGACTGGAATAACATTAACGAGACCCAGCCTAGGAATTTTCTTCGCTCATGAAGGAAATGGTAACAACTGGACAGTAAAGCGGAATATTTTTTTAGACGTATCATGGATTAGGACAAGAGAATCTGATGGGATGATTCATCGAAAAGAGCTAAGCCATTAGAATTATCAACAGCCACTAGTAAAAGAAAGATTCTAGCCATAGATGATGCACTGTAAACCGGAGAGTGGAATGTAATGGATAACTACGAAGTCCAAGTAAGTTCATTAGATTTTAATCAATTATGAGTTAAATTAAAAGAAACCTTTTCGTTCACGAGTTGGTGACAGAACTGCTGGAGCAAGAGCATTTGAAATTTGATGCAGTACGGCAGGTGTATAGGAAGTGGAACGAGTATGGGTAGGACATTGTAGAATATTTGGTGCATGAGGCATTAAAGCCAAATGCGAAACAGCTGTCTGGAGACAAAGCATTATATCTGTTACGTAGGACTGGGTATCTTCATGTGATTCACCAACCGTTTCCGCTAACCGCGACAAAATATTGGGAATCCACGGTGATGGTGACTGAAACCATGAAAATTTTCAGTTGCAAATTTTTAAATTAAAAAAATCTTCCTATTCCAAATTTTCATTGTATATAATATGGACAAACCTGACAAAGAGCTGAATTAATTTGAAAACAACGGCTAGCAATATGCCGATTTGAAGTTGATAAAGCCATTCCCATTGCTAATTGTGACCAACGCAGTGCCAAACTTGGGTTTGTTTCAATCAAGAGTTCGCCTAGATGACGTACCATACATCCTAACTGTGCTGCACTTTCAATCCGCCACTGCCGTGATGTTACATCTTCATTAGCCCAAAGAGGTTTGTCCATTCTAAAAATTGTTAGTAGTCACGAAAGAAAATGATTTGAAATTTGTGGAAGATATTGAATTTAAAATTTATATAACGAGTAACATTCATGACACATTCGCAATTTATTTCATATACAAACAGAAAAAAGTGCGCATAAATTCGATTAAAACTTGGATTGATTCCAGTAAATTGTGAAATATACTTAAACAAACATCATTTTAAAGAACTATAAATTTTTCATTTTTTCTACTATATTTTAATAATAGAATCATTTTTCTTAGTACTCTAACTATTGTCTCAAATATAAAATACCTTTTCTAATGACCTGGATAATGAGTTCGATAATATACTAAAATGTGAGATATAAGTTCATACCTCACACTATGCCTTCCTCTTACAAGGAATACTTAAGACATAATGATTCATTTTTAGCTCAATTGGTATATTATTACTATAATGCCCTTAATTCGTAAGATCATATGCACAATTGAATTTTGTTCTAAAATCTCGACCATCAAAAAAACATGCTGTAAATTGAAATAAAACTAACTTCTCAGACATACAACATACGAATGCCTGAATCAAATCTGCTGTTGTGCTAAATGAAGTATTGCTGCTTAGCAGCATTTGTTGATATTCATTACACTTCATAGTTGAAAAAGTAGGTGTTTCACCACGTGCAATACTATCCGTACGACTATCATCAACACTTGATATCATGCTTATTTCATCTGCCCAATTTATCTGAAATTGAATTCAAGAATATAATTCATACCATCACACCTACAAAACTTATGATAAACATATTTAATTTCATGATCACTTTATATTTTAATTAATCAATTTAATAAATTTGTTGTTCGTACATATTATATGAGTTTTCAGTTATACCAAAGATAGGATGTTTAATTCACCGGCAATTTTTGTAGTGCATTAGAAATATTAGAAATAGTCCACATAATTACAGTACGATCATCCGTAAGACATAACCTCCTTGCAACTGGTTTACATAATAATTTAGAAACAGAAACCAAAATCTATCAAAAAGTGATAAATGGAATTCTAAAAAGTCAAAATTTATTTGGAAAACTTTGACTTATATCCTAATATCCTTGAATTTGCAACTATGCCGTACAAACCTGATTAGTAAGTAAGATATTCGATAGCTGTGATGCGGGAACGACTTCACCAGCTTGTAACAAAATAATATTGATAATAACTTGTCGTGAATGACGACACATTGGTGGACGCAATGAATCCAATCCTAAGACAGCAATATGCAACAACAATGGTATATGATCACACCATTCTTCTGACGAAGGACATCGTAACAAATCCGTGACATGAAGCAATGCCAAATTGCTTCTGAAAATCAGTATAATGATATCAAGTAACATTCAAATTTCGATTGATATAGAAGTTACTAATTGATTCGTTAAAAACTTTCTGTTATATGCATGTTGAAATACAGAACTTCGAAAAAAATTCAAGCCAATAGAAGCCAGTCAAACTATCAGACAGATAATGGAATGCATGAACGTAGAGATTTAAAAGGTGCCTCATGTACAAATAACAAAAAACGACTTCACCTCGTAAATGGAAATACTGGTTGAGTAGTCGGTGGCAGAAAAGACGAGAGCTTCGAATAGTGACCTCCATAAGCTGGCATTGGTAAATCATGAATTATACTAACAGTATCTTCATCTGATACATTGATCTGAAAAGGCAATCAGCCTTTATAAAATTAAAAAAAAAAACAAGAAACTAGCACGAGATTTTAGAATCCATGTTAATCAAATGAAAAAGAAAAAGCCTCTAATTGGACTTCAGAGAAAAAACAGCCGATTAAACTGGATTTTAAAGGAAAGTAAAGTCGATTATAAAAGCTAAACAAATCATATTTCAATAATAAATCACATTTTAATCACATTTCAAAATGTCCGATTCCAAAATAAATCCATAAATCTAATGTAAAATGCAAAAGAATAAAAGTAAAACCTTCAATGGGCTAGTCGGTTCCGTCTCTGCAGTACATATATTAGTTTCTTTCATTTTTGTTGTTGTTTGCTTCTCATATGTTGTTTCCAAGGTGTTCTGGAAGCGGTAAAATGGTGGCATTTCACACCGTTCCAAATTTGCTTTGAATTGTTCGTTTACGCAATCCATATCATTCATTAGAATTTTCAGCAAGTTATGCGCAGAAGAATCCATCAAAAAACAACATATACGTTTAGTCTAAATATAGTTCAAAATTGATAGTGAAGCAAACTGACTTAAATGACGAAATTATTTCTTCTTCAATGCAATGTCCACATAGCAAAAGCTATACAGTATGACTTCATTTTTTAATTCTCAACTTTCATTTCAGTTACCAAAACCTGTACTGTTTACTATATGTTTGTTTGATCAGAAGGTAGCAAATATAATAATCACATACATGTGGCAACAACATCTCAGGCGATAAGGAAGCCATCACAAACAGATAGTTCACAATTATTGGTAAATTTGCTGAATGTGATAGAGCTAACGTGTTCCATAGTAGTGATATTTCTTTGAAATGCACATCGGATAATGTTACTGTTAAATAAAGCAGATTATTCAGGATCAGCTGAGTTGCTTCGATTGAACCCCATCCTGATTTAACCTCATCATTTTCCTCGGCAGCATTGTCTTCCTGAAAATGATAGCTGATGTTACTATATCAATAAATTATCACATTCTTTCCTTGATAACAATAATAAAGTGAAATAATATACTTACTTGAGAATCCACAAGCTGAATATTTTCCAGCCATGCAGAAAGAAGAGATAATATAGCAGTTCTTCTGCTGCATTTAGCACTTTCAACACGAGAGCAAACTTCTAAAATGCATTATTTTAAAAAAAATCTTTAAAACGACTAGTATAAATTTAATTTTTTTCAAAAGTAAATAGCAAAAATTCAAATAGAATAAATCTTAGACTAATAAAGCAATACTTTTTGAGAACAAACGATTGATTTATACTAATAATTTACTTTTGTCACATCCATTACATCAAAGAGATAATGATAAATGACAAATTTTCCTGTTCAATCTATATACCGACCAAGCTACCGGTATTTTTTGTACAGTTTTAGTAGTTTCTGACATATGCATTCTGCTATATTTTGACATTGTCTAACTGCTGAGTATCAAGCTAGCAAGCTGAATTCTTTTCCAATCGAAACAATTAAAGTGATTTCCAATGCTTCAAAATTTGAGTAAAAGGATACTTTACCTGAAAAAACGGACATCGTTATTTTTGGATATGTTTTTGCTAGCAAACGACAAACTTCGATTTGGTTCGATGAGAAATTATGCAGATTGGTAAGATTTGGTACGATCAATGAATCATCAAGAAACTGTCGTCGCAGAAGATGAAGAAGCTGGACCGCAGGTTCAGAAACACGTGTATCACTATCCCCTGCTAACATTTGACAGAGGACGAACAACGAATCGAACTCACAAGGATATTCTCTGGAATTGCTTGCTTTTTTTATTAACAACAAAAAATATTCTTGTTGAGCGAAAAAATTCTGACCGGCAACATTTATTACTAACGCCTATACTCAATTTGAATCGTAAGCTTAATAAAGTGAAAATTTGAACAAGCAATTGCAGATCAACTAAATGAATGTAAAGACCAAATCAGCAACAAATGATCGGAAAATATTTGAATAGGCAACATCACTTTTCGGTCACTGCCTACAACTATCAAAAACATTCTTTTTTTTTTACTTATAACCTACGCACTCAACTCTTTAGAATGCAAGCATTGAATCAGGAATAGCGCATTATATTCTTTGCAATAATTATAAGCTTACCTTCGGGAAAAAAGCATAACCAATGAACGGAAGCTTTTCGCTGCCACACAAGCAGGTTTGGAATAGCAAACATTAATTGTCCATTCGAGAAGTTGTGATGTTTCATCATTCAAGTCAAGCATCGTACTTAACGTGGATTCAAATAATTTTTCGAGCTGTAATAATAAAAATTTTGAACGGCTGGAAAATTATACAAAATATACATGTTGTTATGCTAATGAATCTATATCATGGATGTAGATAGAATTCATTAATTCATATCTTTATCCACACTATGATAATTAGCAGAACTTTCCTACCTCAGTTAAAAATCAACCAACAAATTCAGACATCACACAGACTTCATTTATTAACTTTAGTTGGAAAAGCAGTAATCTGCAAAAATTTTACATTAAAAATAAATTTAATCTCAAATCCAAGGAACGCTGAACTCCATTATAAAAAGAACTTAATCTAATATAAACTTCTGGTACTTTATTCTGATATAAAACTTTACCACAGGATTATTTGAATCAAGCAGAGCTTCTAGCCATCCATACAAATAACCATCTTCTCCAATAGCTTTAATCGGTTCAAATATTGGCCCGCAACATAATAAAGCACACATCGCTTCAACAGCTCGTTGCTCTACGTATGTTCCAACGTTTCCGTCGTGTCTAAATACAAATACACTATAATGATAAGAAGCCAAAGTTTTTCAAGCTCAGAATTTTTCAATCTCTTTTAATTTTCACTTTTAAAACCAACCTTTTATCGGATGCAATGCTCCTACTACACCATGAAGTAAATAAAAAGAACAAATTCTGTTTCAAATTATTTCCCAATAAGTTTCGTCTTTTTTCTGCTGCAAAATAGAATTGATTATTTTGTATAAACAAATACCTAATAATCAGGATACTATAAATTAAGGAAGAAGAAATAGCAACCGATATAAAAATTAAGTCTTAAACTGTAATGTATGACAAGCTTTATATGAGTTCTTAGTTATGTACAAGACAAAACAGATTTGATGAATCGCGTCAATCTACTTAGAGGACTCATTAATCACATAAAAATCAATGCCATAATATAAAATGAATGTAATAAAAAATAAACGCACGTGCAATGCTGTTAATAATCATTGCGATAGTTTTTGCAAAATGCAATCGCAAATTTGTTAATAACAACATGTCACGATCCTAAAAATTTTTATAAAAATAAAATAATATAATTAACAAGATATATATGAAATATAAAAAACATGAAATTCTTAATAATAATGTTGCATTTTAACAGCAATAATTCAACACTTTAGTGTAACTGTTGTCTTTTTCATCCCCATAAAATGAAAATTTTGCGCAAAAAGTAAACCTGATCAGACTCTAAATTCTGTCGCATGGAGTCCAAAAAGTCAACAAGGACAGAATAAAGTCCACTTTCAACATCAATGCAACCTGAACATTGCAGCACACCCCGAAATGTTGCAATCTAAAAAAAAATTTTCGCTGAAACTTGATAAGTCCATACTCTTTTGTAACAGAATGACTGATCCATCCATATTCTTTTCCTGATAAGTTTTAATGATAAATCCAAATTCGAATATCCTACTCATATCTGAAGCAAAAATTTTGCACCGTTTTAAAAATGTGACAGTGCATTATAATGTAAAATAAATGACTTAATAGCTCGAAGCCAAATTCTATTTATGCTTCATTCATAAATTATTACTCCACACTTCCACTCAACCGTTTTTATTGATTGTTCCTTAAATAATCTCCCACGTTTTCTTTATATTCATACTTATGATTGCCATAAATCATTCCATCTTTTTTTTTTTGATAATAGCGCCTCAATGACTATATGAGCTAATCTTTCCATAGCATACATCTTTCAGTTGTTCTAATTTTTAAATAATACATGTTTAAATTCTAATGATATTATTCATAAAATTGATAAGCCAATAAGCAAAAACTAGATGTTTAGTCTTAAAGCAACATTTCAGTTATTTCAGACGAAAAATCGGACTTGAAGTATACGGATTATTTGTAGTCGTAACAGATCTTTTCGTTTCTTCCGTCGAGCATTATTATCGTTTTTCCGATCCATTACCTCTCTTAGAAGTCCTTTCATCTCATCAAGAAGTGCTCTGTAAACCAATAAGTAATGTATAAATAATTTAGGTAAAAAAAGATGAAAAAACGATTGAAAAATATTTTATTTCCTGCAAATGAAGTCGATTAGATATTACGACATCTACTACATTTTTGGTCACAGATACAACAAACTGCAACAAAAATCTGCGTGCCAATTTATCGAAAGAGGCTCGTAAATTATGGTTAGACAATTTAATTTTATCAAGAAGTAATTAAATCCATTAAGCAAAAGTTATAAGCGAATGGTGCAAGTTATAATTCCAGAATACTTACTCAAATGCTAAAGGATTTGTTGATCCTATACCCAAAACGACACTATCGCGCATATCAGTCATATGTTCCCAACGTAACATAGTAACAACTTTCAGGAAGAATGTAGCATTCACAGGAGCAGACGGTCGTTGTGCGCGAACGGACGACGCCAAAGAACGAAACACATCATTGTCCACCCTAAATGAACTTAACTGAAAATAATCTAAAATTAATGCCCCGTGCACGGCTTAAAAAAATTTTAAATTATTAATGCTTGAGAATAAAAAAATCTCATAAAACATAACCCTCATGAAATCTCCAAGAGCATACCGAAACTCAATTCTCAAAAACAAAAAAGAAAGTTTTCATATGTATATTTACAAACTACTTAAGTACTTAAGACATAAATCCACGGATATCGCTGTGGCTCTCAATATCAGTTGGCCATAAAAATGTTAGAATCGTTAGGATACTCAAATTCATGCACGTTTATGCCAAGATATTCTTTTCTTCTCTATAACAAATCCTAGCATTAGCAATCTGACCTTACTAAAATTAAGTGGAATAAATTGATGGCTTTTATTTTTGATTATTTTAAATGAGATTTATTGTGAGCCATTTTTGGAATATGGCTCCATACCAACAGAAGATATGAATCCTAGAGGATTCTGAAACCTCATTTAAAAATAACCAAAAATAAAAGTGCCGTTATTAGATGTTTGGTCATACACACGCAACTTTTTTTGTCCCGTATTTGATATATGCAAAAATCTTATTAAAGAATTAAACTCACGACGAAGTGGGTGAAAATCCTCGACTATGAGTAGTTGCATAATCAGCATGAGGTGGTGCCAAAGCACAAGCCATTACAAGATACTTTTGCCACAATGACAAATAGCTATCCTGACCAAGCGATTCACCACATAATGGCGAAGCCGTGGCTTTACTTTTTGATGATCGTAACAAAGATGCCCGATTTTCATTTTGTGGATTACTATAAAAAAGAATTTGGAAGAAATAAATAAATTACAAACTTCGAGTTTTCCTTTAACATTTCTAGTCACTTTTCAGATATTTATTAAGAAATCTTAATTCCCTCATGATTGACTGTAGATCAGTCATTCATCGCATATTACAGCTTTGCTGCATACAACGATGCGGGAAGTGAATATATTAGGCGTACACGCATATATCATGTAACTACTATCACAACTGCTTAATTGACTATTCTAAATTTGCATTGTTTTCAAATACAGTTTATACTTCTC